GAGAGAGGAGAGGAGAGAGAGAGAGAGAGAGAGAGAGAGAGAGAGAGAGAAACATCAAGTGAGGAAGGCACATTCATTGGTTGCCTCTGGCACACATCCCAAAGGGGGCCAGGGATCAAACCTGCAACACAGGTACATGCCCTTCAGCAGAAATTGAATGTGGGAGTCTTTGGTTCTGGGGATGATACTCTCACCACTGAGCTACACCAGCCAACGCTTAAAGTAGGAATTTTGACCACTGACTTCACCGTCTTTTCTCTTACAGTTGTTAATGTTATAAATGCATTGTTTTAGCTATATTCCATACTTTTGGATTATTTACTTATTTGTTTGTTTTTTATTGATTTCAGAGAGAAAGTGAGAGGGAGAGAGAGATAGAAACATCAATGATGAGAGACAATCATTGATCAGCTATCACTTGCATGCCCCCTATTGAAGATGGAGCCTGCAACCCTAGTGTGTGCTCTTGACTGGGAATTGAACCTTGACCTCCTGGTTCATAGGTCAGCCCTTAAGCACTGAGCTCCACCTGCTAGGCCTTGTTATTTTGAATCAATTTAACTTTTTTTCAAATTTTCTTTGTTACTTTTATCTTAACCTTTGGAATATTTGAAATGCTATTGTTTAATATACAAACACCTGGTGATTTTTTACTTTTTTTTTTCTGCTGCGTATTTTAAATTTAATTCCTTTCTAATCAGAAAGCATATGTTTTATTATTTCATCCTTATAGATGTGTTGACTTGCTTTCTCTACTAAAATATTATATGTCCATATTTTTTCTGTGAATTTGAAAAGAATGTGAATTGTGCATTGATTGGGTGAAAGGGTCTTTAGTTGTCAGGTGGAGCTGCTTGACAATGTTGATCATGTCTTCTACATCATGATGATTTTCTTATTTACATTTTTTTTAGAGTTGTAATTCTATTTATTAATATTTATTTTTTTGAACCCTGTAGCTATGTTAATTAATTTTTTTTATTTTTTTATTGCTTTATTGCTTAAAGTATTACAAAGGGTATTACATATGTGTCCTTTTTTTTTTCCCCGCCCTTGACAATCCCCTGGCCTACCCTATGCCCCAGTGTCTTATGTCCATTGGTTATGCTTATATGCATGCATACAAGTCCTTCGGTTGATCTCTTACCCCCTTCCCTCCTGCCCCCCAACCCTCCCAGCCTTCCCGCTGCAGTTTGACAATCTGTTTGAGGCATCTCTGCCTCTGTATCTATTATTGTTCATAAGTTTATAATGGTCTCTATTAACCATGAATGAGTGAGATCATGTGGCATTTTTGATTTTTATTTTCTCTTTTTCTTAAGTTTCTTTAACCTTTCTTATAATACTGATTTGGTGGTGATTATCTCCTTGAGCTTTTTCTTATCTAGGAAGCTCTTTATGTCTCCTTAAATTTTAAATAATAGCCTTGCTAATAATAATCCTATCTAATAATAGACAAACATGGTAATTAACCGTACCTCCGATACACTTCCCATTGGCTAATAAGGGCAATATGCAAATTAACTGCCAACAAAAATGGTGGTTATCCGCCAACAAAGATGGCGGATAATTTGCATACTGCAGGCAGGGCGGGACAGCGCCATCCCGCCTGCCCCGCTGCCATCCGGGCCTGCTATTTGCCACCTCGGTGCCAGGCGGCCTGTATGGGAACAGACCCAGGGCTGGTGGCAGAACCGCAGTGATCGGCCACCGGCCAAGCCCACAAACAGCCCTCCCATGGGGTTCCCGGGCTGGCAGGTGCTAATGCACCCATCTGCCACTGGCCACGCCCACAAATGGCCTTCCCGCTGGGATCCCAGGCTGGCGGGTGCTAATGCACCGATCTGCTGAAATGCACACCGAGGCCGCCTTTGCCCTGAGTGAACTAAGCAGCCAGGAGAGAGGAGTGGGGGCACTGGAAGCAGGGTGGGAACTTCCCGGGGTTTGGGTCAGGAAGCCCAGAGCAGAGTGCAAACTATCCCCACCAGTAGCTGCTTGCTCATTCACTTACTTGCTCATTCATTCACTCATTCACTCGCTCATTCATTCACTCATTCACTCACTCATTATTCACTCACTCAGCAAACCCTCTCAGGTCCCTGGAACCAGGCCAGGCACTGAAGTTGAAGCAGGATAAGACTGAGCTATGTCCTGAAGATGTTAGTAATTCAGTATGCAGCCAGGAGAGGGGTGCCAGGACACTGAGAACAGGGCGGAACTTTCCCCGGGTGGGCTTCAGGGAGCCGGGAGTGGGGCCGGAACTTCTGCCATGTTGCCATGGCAATGCGGAAGAAGTTCCCGCCCCTTAGCTGCTTGCTCATTCACTTACTCGCTCACTCATTCACTCGTTCACTCACTCATTATTCACTCACTCAGCAAACCCTCTCAGGTCCCAGACACCAGGCCAGGCACTGAAGTTGAAGCAGGATAAGACAGAGCTTTGTCCTCAAGATGTTAGTAATTCAGTAGGGCGAAGCAGGCACATGAACTAGGCAGTTGTATGCACAGATGCAGTGTACTGGGTTCTGTGAGGGCTGTAACTAACGCCGACTATGTTCTCTTGATAAAATGGGGCCTCAGGAGCCAGGCTGCCCAAGCCTGTAGGCCTGTGCCTAGGCCAGGAGTGGCCGGGGTCCTGGAACATGACAGAGGGTGCAGGTCGGGCTGAGAGGTCTGGCCCCACTCCTCACCCTCACCCCCGAGTGCACAAAATTTTGTGCACTGGGCTACTAGTAATGATAATAATGATAATAATAATAATAATAATAAATAGTCTTGCTGGGTAGAATAATCTAGGTTGTAGGTGTTTGCTTTCCATCACTTTGAATATTTCATGCCACTCCCTTCTGGCCTGCAAAGTTTGAGTTGATGAATTAGTTGGGATTCTTAGGGAGCCCCCTTATAGAAAATTAACTGCTTTCCTTGTGCCATTTCTGAGACTTTTTTTTCTTTGTATTTTTCATTTCTCACTGGGTGTTTTTTATGCTTTCTATCTCCTTTCTATGTTTCTTCTCTCTTTGTTGAAGTTCTCAGTCAGATAATCTATTCTTTCCCTAAGTTCACTGAGCATCCTTATAACCAGTGTGTAGAATTCTGCATTTGGTAGATTGCTTGCCTCCATTTTGTTTAGTTGTTTTTCTGAAATTTTGTCCTGATCTTTCCTCTGGGACATGTTTCTTTGTCTCCTCATTCAGCTGCCTTCCTATGTTTATTTCTATGTGTTTGGTATATCTGCCACATCTCCCAACCTTAGAAGAGTGGCCTTAGGTAGCAGGCTTCCCTTGGGGCCCAGTGATGCAGTTTCTGTGTTCATCTGAACCAGGTTCTCTAGGGGTGTCTAATGTTTGAGTTGTGGGTGCTTTCTTGTTGCAGTTGAGCCTTGATTGTCATTGGCACATCAGTGTGTGGGATTGCCTCTCAGGCTGAATTGGGGTCCCATTTTATAATGTACACCTGTGGGTGTGGTACCAGCTAGTTTCATTTTTCCCTCCTACAATCCTTGAGGTGACTTAAAAAAAATGTATTTATTGATTTTAGAAAGAGGATGTAACAAGGAGAAACCTATGATGAGAAACAAGGTCAGATGACTGAAAATAGTTAGCAATATGGAATAAACTGTTTAGACCCTGAAACACAGTGAATATTGTAGTGTTTAGAATAGTGACCAAGTGGATATTGGTAACATAAACGAAGGTGTATAAAAGAGGAGGTAATTTGTTTGTTGAAAAATAAGTTACATAGTAAATATCCTAAGTTACTGGTTCCTGTGGCTTCTTTACTAGGCATTATTTTTAACTGCTCTCACATTAGGACCATCTCTATTCCCACCAGATCAGGGGGTAGAGAGGGGAGATGTGTTGAAGTTTTGTTAGTGAAAGAGTTTATTACTTCATGACTTATACTGTCTCTTTCCTCCTTAGGATGTGAAAGGCATTATGGAACGGTATGTATGGGAGACCAGCGATGGTCTTTTTGTGCTGTAAAAAGTGTTTAAAGACATTAATGATACCTGGTGATTAATAAGAATAAACTATTGCTCAGGGCAGAAACATTTGGATGTAGTTTTATCTTAAATTTCTGTTCACATATGGCTTGTGTATTCTATACCTATGGACAATGAACCAGATTTTATGTAGGCAGTTTACTTGAGGGAGTTGCAAAGTTTGGGTTAGTAGCAGTTAAACATAAGATGTTGCAGTATCAGACCCATCTGACTTCATAAATTCTATGCATTCAGCATGCCTGTATCTAACTCAGATTTTCACATGTAACAGGTGATTTATTGACTGTGGGAATGTCATGACTTCTTTACCTCCTAAGCACTCAGAATTTGAGACAACTCCTTTATATTTAAATTTCTGCTCTCGGAATAGAAGATATGGTTCTCTTTATTTTCCAAAGGCTGACTTGAATATCAAGGATTATTTTGACCGTTGGAAAAACAATTGATCCATCTTGGTCATGCACTTTTGAAATCTGAATGGAAGGGCAGCATCTTTGTGTCTAAATTTGAACACCTACTTGACTGCATTAATCTATTCCAAACACATGAAATTAAGACCACTAGTAGTATAGCATTCATAATACCTTCCTTTCCAAGTGTTATATTTTTTACCGGAGAACCCGAAATCTCAGATGTAGTTCTGGAGGCCTCCTACTGGGCAGTGGAATTTAAAGGTCTTGGTTCTTCCCAGACAGTATTCCCACACTGGGATATATCTCAAACATAAGGAACCATGTTCTGCATCTTCACATTCTTGTCATATTGCTGGGAATCTACATCCATGTCACGACATTTCCTTATACTAATTTATTTTAAGGTACCAAATTTTGCATTTTAAAGAAATTCACTATGGCACATAATTTAATATGATTTTTAGGAGTTAGAAAGGGAGAGGACAGTTATCATTGTGAAAGGAATAAACTACTTCTGAAAGGTCAATGCCTTTCCAAGGGCAGGCAGCAGTTAACTGGGAAAGTGGATTGAGCATATTTCTTCTGATGCCAAGGTCAGAAGTCTACTCTCTCCTTTCTCAGGGGTCCATGAATGGGGGCTCAAGTACTCCTTGGGGTGAGTAAATAAAATCAGTGGTTTTGGAGAGACAAAAATTCAGAGGTGTTTGGATCTATTTTGTTGTATCTAGGTGTAAGATCTCCACTCTGAAGAAGCCAAAAACTCTCCCCATGAAGCAAAGGAGAGTGTTCCAAGCTCCTGACCTGAGAGGGGTGCTGGAAGCCTTTACTGGTGAGGAATGCTAGAGCAATGGGTGGCTGTGAGATTTTTTTTATGGTTGGGGTTAAAGTTCAGGTTTTAGGTGTTGCTGGAAGAGAAAAAGGAAGACGAATATTACATGCTGGTTATAAGAGCATATTCAATGTGGTCAGTTGTCTTGTTCACCCCTATTCCATGTACTAACTTACATAAACCCCAGTCTTTCCCTCATATGCAGAGAAAATAGATGTTGATGCAGAATTTTTTGCCTATATTTGATGTTATGGATTTTTCTAATTTCAGAACTGACAGATGTGCGACGCTACTGGGGTAAGGAGAAATCACAATATTGCAAAGTCACTTTGTCCTCATTTTCTTTTAGAATTTTGCATTTTCTGTTATGTCTCTAGTATAAAGACCCAGGTTTTTTTTTCCCAACACCCACATACATATTTCTGCAGTATGTACTGCTCCTCAAGAACCAAATCAAATGCTTCCCATTTCCTGCTCATTTTATTCTAAATATCTGCCTTACAATGTCACAAATAAAGTATGTCAGATTTCTCACCCAAACCTGTAATTTTTCTACAGTACACGTGACCCTGGATCCTCCCCCGAATAAATCAAGTGTTATCATTTCTGAGGATCGGAGACAAGTGAGACTTTCCCATGTTTCTTCTTCACTTGGAGTTTTTAATAGGAATTGTGGTGTCCTGGGATCACCTTCTATCACATCAGGGAAGCATTACTGGGAGGTGGATGTATCACAGAAACGTGCCTGGATTATGGGAGTATATGGAGAAAAATAACCTGACTCCATTAAAATGGATTCTATAAGACTAGTTAACAATAGTCAGCCTGTTTACTCTAGATTTCAACCTAAATATGGCTACTGGGTTATAGGGCTACAGAACCATTCTGAATATAAGGCTTTTGTGGATTCTGCCTTCTCTCACCCCACGCCCTTAACCCTGAGTGTTCCTCCCCGTCGTGTTGGGGTTTTCCTAGACTATGATGCTGGCACTGTCTCATTTTTTAATGTCACTAACCATGGGTTTCTCATCTATAAATTCTCTTCATGTTCCTTTCCTCAGAAAATGTTTCCATATTTCAATCCTATGAAATACAGTGCCCCCATGACACTGTGTTCTCCAGGCTCTTAAACCTCTTACACCTTCACACACTTCTCTGGAGTGCCTCTTGCCATGGGTGCATCTAATAAAATATTATTTGAATTCATAGAGAATCCTAATTCATCAGTTTTATCATCTCAAGGAAAATGACTAATGCCTCATTTAAAAAAGACATGTATGGAGGTAACATCTCTACCAAGTTCTACAATCTCATGTCCTCTGCCCTTGACTGAGAAGATGAATGAAAGCTTTTCAACAGCTTTTATTGAAGACTTGAATAGAAGTCATTCACTACAGAATGAATCCTCAGAGGTCTGTCTGTCTATTTACCCATGATGTTTGTTATTCATAAATGAGTGAAGAAGAAAATATTAAATATGGGTTTATAAATTGATTTCTTAGAGAGAGAGGAAGGGAGAGGTAGACAGAGATAGAAACATTGATGAGAGAAAAACGTTAAAGGGCTGCCTCCTGCATGTCGCCTCCTGGGGATTGACCTTGTGTCCAGGAAATGTGCTCTGACTGGGAATGGCACCAGCAACCTCTTGGTGCATGGGTCGATGCTCAACCACTGAGCAACATCAGCCAGGCAATAAGAAAATATCATAAATATTATGTACTAAGAGTTAAGTTCTGTGTTTTTATTTCTGAGTTCACGACTAATTTCTCCAAATATGCACAATGAATTTTGAATAAAATACCTGAATGCCAATTTGTTTTCTTTAAATAATCCTGGCAATAAAACCATACCATAGTTCGTATCACTGTGAGAAGAAAAATGTCATTAAGTATATAACATGTAAGTGTCTCAACTGAATAAATATTTCTCCACTAATTACTGAGAAATCTAAGCTGTGTCAGTGTGTCATGAAACAGGTTTTGCTTTCAGGGGCACAAGGGCAGTTTTTATCAAAGTCTCATGTTTCAGATCCCAGGTATCTCTGTGCTGCTGTCTAGAGTACTCCAGCTCTTCCAGTGTTAGATAAGACTGTGTGTATGAGTGAAAATTTTATTATAAGTCTGGTGTTACTGCATGTTAGCCTTGATCAAATAATCTAAATTGTACATGATTCAGTTTCACATTTGTAAAATAATATGAAATTTATCTGATGTATTATTGTGTAAATTGAACCATAGAATATTTTCAATAATTTATTTCATGGCTAGCACATAATTAGTCATCAAGTATACTGTTGATTCCTTTTTATTTGCCTCTCACTTAGACTAAAATAAATGATTTTAAGAATACATATTAGTTTTCTTTCAACTTTACTATTCTTGCTTTTATTTAAGAAATAAAAATAACTTGATGAAAGAATTGTGAAACCTCATGATCAAAATAATCTGTTGAACAAAATGGAACCAGAAACAAGGAACAGACTGGCCAGTATCTGAGGGGAGGTTAGTGGGGGTGACTGGATAAAGAAGGTAAGGGTGTTAGCTAAAGAACACATATTCATACCCCATAGACATGGACAATAGACTTGTGAAGGCTAAGGGACAGGGTGTGGGGGAAGGTGAATGTGGGGGAAAAGGAGGTTACAGGGGGATGTCCACCTGCAACAATGTCAACATTAAAAATTTTTAGTAAAAAAAGTTATTATTCACAGAAATGATGTAAGTGTTAGAAGTACAATTGTGGCATTTCTTAACTGTTTTGTTACCCAGTTCAGCCTTCCTTTTGCAGTTAGGTTCAAGTTTGCAGGAAAAAGAGAAAAGCCAGTTCTCTAAAGAGATAGCACGGGCATCGTTTCAGCAATGGATATTCCCACCATGCCCTTGTCTTTTGGAATTTTTATTCCCAAATCTGTCCTCAAAGACATAAAAGTTAAAATAAATACATTAATGAATTAACTAATTAATTAAATGGGCTCTCTTGTCAATTATTATCTGCTCTCATCTCTGCATGGCCACAGGGATATTTAAATTTCTCACTTTGGATTATCTTTGATGTAACAAGGGATTGCAAGGTGGATATTACAGTGTGTGTGTGTGAAATTGATCTAAATTTTCCCTTTGACCTCTGCCTTCCTTACTCTCCGTTGCTATGATGCCTGGGGCTATGCCTCACTAGCAATACTACTCAATTATTGACAAATCAACTCCTGGAGTTTTCAGTTATTGGTATGCCAGTCCTCCAATTCAGAATGAAGTCCCTAGTTACAAGGAAAAAAAGACCTGAATGTTTGTTTAGATACCACATTTTTCAGGTCTTTGACACCATTGTCAAGACTGCTTAAGATCTGCCTCTGGTAAACACACACACACACACACACACACACACACACACACACACACACACACGGCATACTTTTTTTTCTCCTTATTGGCCTTGCTCTCCAGTGGGCTGACAGACTAGGGCAGTCCCCAGGACTGAAAACAAGCCTGTTCTTCCCTCCCCGCAGTGAGAGGGCGGGGAGTTGAATCTGCAGTGAATGTTCATGCAGGCCTTGGTGGGATCCCAGTCCAGTCTTCTGCAATGACAGATAATTTCTTGCTCATGATTAAGTAGTATATGTAGATTTACTGGTTTTTAGGTTCAATGTATCCAGCAGGCGCCTTCCAGAGGCCTGTCCCACACCCCAGGGCCCCAAACCCTGTCCATTCACCGGAGGTTAAACAAAGCCAAAACGCGGTTAGCTTTCCGTGGTCAGGGAACCATATGTTACAGAAGAGCAAAGAAATACCAAGCACGCTTCCTAGAGAAAGTGAGGGACGCCGTTTATTAACACTAGTGGACTCTGGGGATAATTTCCAAATCAGAGTGAAGAAACATGCAGAGAGTCTGTCTATATATATCCCACTGGGGTCTGTGTCTTGCAGATATGGTTCCGCCCCCTTGTGGGCTTACAGGAAGGCCCCCAGGTGTTGGGGGTTCCCAGGTCATATCAGATGATCTTCCTGGGGCCAGTGATAACGACCTCCCCCTACCCAGGGCAGTGCATTGTTCACAGTTTTTATGGCCTAACAGGCCATTCATGACCAATTTCCTCCTCAGGGAAAGTGGACATTTATGGAGGTGTGAGTGTTTCCTAGAGAAAGACTCCCTTTGAAGAGCACCATGTGTAAACTTCCATCCTCTTCCTGCCTCCTAGTGGCTGGTACCATGTCACTGCCACAGCTGTAACCACATTATGTCTGGAAGGTCAGAAACAAAAACTGGTGGTTAACTGAAGGACTAGTTCAGATTCCATGGTGATGTGGAAAAAATTTCTCAATAGGGTAAAAAAATTTCTAAATACCAGCTCTTAGTAGCTGCTATTTAAAAAGAACAATTTTTTCCTAAAATTCTAAAGACAGATGCTACCATTCAGCTCAAATGATCAGAGCTCCATCACTGGTTATCTTCCCATCACACTCTGCATTATGGAGGGCAGTTACTCAGATTTCTGGATCATGATTTTATCCCTCCCTAGTAAGTAGTTCAGGACATGAATATAGGATAAGCTTAACTAGCAGGTATAGAATTAAATTGAAATTACTAAGTATTTAGGAAGGCTGTAGAGTGTAACATTAGATTTTACATTCTTCTTATTTGAATACTCTTGCTAGAATAATCTGCAAAACGGATGAAACCATAACATACTGAAGCATTGACTTCCCTAAGTCTCCTATGTGGTGACCTCCCATTGTTATTATTATTAAGTTTCTGTTCTGCTTCCTTAGTTTCTTTTCCACTCCTATGAACTTAACTTTCATTTCTCACTCCGCTCCTGTGGGGGAACTCCTCTGTGGAGAGCTGGTCGCTGGCTTGGTGAGTGAACACTGACCAGACTTACAGCTGATCTCCTCCTCTGAATTAAGACTCCTCTATATTTCCTGAAAGTAAGTGGGGGCAATTTCTGGGGACAAAGGACAGGAGGTTTTGGGGGAGCAGACTGACTGTGTTTGGTGTCTTAAATTGTGATTCTGAAGCTGCTCTGCTTGTGGGTGTCTCTGCTGAGGTGGCAGAAAAGAGGAACACTGAGTAAGGGGGAAGAGTGTCTTTAAAGAAGGGAGGTTTAAATAGCTGTCTTATTTATTTCTTGGAGGGACCATTATTTCTCCAGGCTGAGTTACCTCATCATCTCCCTATTCTGTAGTCTTGACTTTCTACCTTTCCAAGGTGAGCCAGAATACTCCTTTCCCAGACAGCAAATCCCTTCCTCCTGTTCTCCAGGAAGCCTGTGAGATGAGCCCTGTTCTCCCTCTTCATAAAGCCCAAGCCCCTGGTGAGGCCAGCAGGAGTGAGAGCCCTTATCAGGAGGCATGTGGGAGGGATGGGATCTTAGGGGCTCTACCAGGGATCAGAACTTCTTGAAGCTGGTCCTTTTACTCTTTTGTTAAATTAGCATTATTTATTTATTTATTTATTTATTTATTTATTTATTTATTTATTTATTTATTTTTACAAACCTTTATTCTTTTTTTATGTTTCTTTGTTTTTTTAAATTAAATCTTTATTGTTCAGATTATTACTGTTGTTCCTCTTTTTTCCCCCCATAGCTCCCCTTCACCCGGTTCCCACCCCACCCTCAACCCTTACCCCACCCCACACTGTCCTCATCCATAGGTGTACGATTTTTGTCCAGTCTCTTCCTGCACCCCCCACCCCCTTTCCTCCCCCCCCCCCCGAGAATAGTCAGTCCACTCCCTTTCTATGCCCCTGATTCTATTATATTCATCAGTTTATTCTGTTCATCAGATTATTAATTCACTTGATTTTTATATTCACTTGTTGACAGATATGTATTTGTTGTTCATAATTTGTATCTTTACCTTTTTCTTCTTCTTCCTGTTCTTAAAGGATACCTTTCAGCATTTCATATAATACTGGTTTGGTGGTGATGAACTCCTTTAGCTTTTTCTTATATGTGAAGCTCTTTATCTGACCTTCAATTATGAATGATAGCTTTGTTGGATAAAGTAATCTTGGTTGTAGGTTCTTGGCATTCATCACTTTGAATATTTCTTGCCACTCCCTTCTGGCCTGCAAAGTTTCTGTTGAGAAATCAGCTGAGAGTCATATTGGTACTCCCTTGTAGGTAACTGACTGTTTTTCTCTTGCTGCTTTTAAGATTCTCTCTTTGTCTTTTGCCCTTGGCATTTTAATTATGATGTGTCTTGCTGTGGTCCTCTTTGGATTCCTTTTGTTTGGGGTTCTCTGCGCTTCCTGGACTTGTAAGTCTATTTCTTTCACCAGGTCGGGGAAGTTTTCTGTCATTATTTCTTCAAATAGGTTTTCAATATCTTGCTCTCTCTTTTCTTCCGGCACCCCCTTAATTCGGATGTTAGTTTTCTTGAAGTTGTCCCAGAAGCTCCTTACACTATCTTCATATTTTTGAATTCTTTTTTCTTTTTGTTTTTCTGGTTGGGTGTTTTTTGCTTCTTCATATTTCAAATCTTTGACTTGATTCTT